CAAGCTGAAGAACGATATGAACGCCGACGAAACATCGTTCAACTCTGCAACTGACCTCACTGTAAGTACCTGAAATGCGGCTGCTGTTCGGGGCAAGTATTCTCTCTCGAGGTTGAAAGAGTGATGCTTCCCTGTATAACGAGGGCTTTGAAGCCCTTCTACGCGATGCACTCCCTTTCCTAAAAATTCGGAATTTCATCCGGTCTGCGGCCTTACTTTTTCCCTATCCAAGATTCCCGTCCAGTGTCGGTGGATAAAAGATGTTCTCATTTTCTGTTGTCAGTTGTGTTACTGACGTCATCAAATGTTACATAGAGCCATTTATCCTTGTAACATTTGAGGCCATTTATTAATAATACCTAATTTTTAGGGAAGTGGCATTTTGTTGAAACATAGCGTAGACTACTCGCACAGAGGCGGCCAGAGGTCTCTGAAGGAGCACTACAAGTACAACGAAGAAGAGGCAAACACGGAAGTATTAACTATTTACCATGAGGGCGAAGTGCGGGTTAATGTGATCATGACTTCTACGTATCAGATGGCAAAGCGAGTTCAGGTTAGCAACTTGGCGCTAAAATTTTGCCGATTGGTTCCTCGTCCAAGTACCATCCCAAGAGCGCGATATCTTCTTCCAGGTACGCCTGGGCCTCACGTGCGAGCGTGTGAAAGTTTTGGCGGGAAAAATACTAACTCGGGAACGAGAAAAGCTAGAAGGCTGAAATTTTATGTTTATGTTTCTCATCCAAATAGAACTTAAATATTTCAAATTTAGCCCCCAGGCATGCATTGTTCTCGCGTACGGCCTCGTAAGAGTTCCTAGTACGAAAATTGCTAACTTGGGAACCAGGAAAGCTAGGGGGCTGAAATTTTAAGGGTATGCTCCTCGCCCATGTACAACTTAAACCTATCAAATAGAGCTACCGGGCTTGCGTGGTTCTCACGTACGGCCTCATGAAGTTTTTTGGCGGGAAGAATTCCTAATTCGGAATCCAGGAAAGTTGGGGGACTGAAATTTTAAAGGGATGTTTCCCAGACCTAGCCCAGTTTGAAATCTTTAAGTTGTACGTGGGCTGGGAATTTCGTGGAAACATCCCCAGGCACGCCTCCAGTTCACGTACGCCCCGCGAAAGTTTTAGCTGGAAAGTTGCTGATTCGGAAACCAGAAAAGCTGGAAAGCTGAGATTTTAGGAGAATATTCCCCGTCCAAATACAACTTAAAGATTTCAAGTCCAGCCTAGAGGTACGCGTGGTCCTCGTGTACGGGCACTTGAATTTTCGGCGGGGAAATTGCTCGTTGAACAGCTCGATCATTTTCAACAAAGACTGGAACGCACCAGGCGAGCCGGTGCGATCATGCGTTTTTGCATCAAAACTAAAGTA